CTTCTCACCTCTAGGAGGACACGTTGCCTGTAAATAGAAATTATTATCAAAATTTTCTAACCTTCGCCATAAAACTGTTGAGAATTCTATTAAAAAATTGAAGCTCATACCTTAACTTTCATAAATAATCTGCTAAAGTTCAGAGGACGGCCTTTTTTCTCTTCCATCTGTGAAGGATCCATGCCATCATCACCATACATGAACTGAATTATACTTGCGCTGGCATTTCGTACAGTGTTGTCATAATAAACAGCAAGGTCCTCTAAAGCTTTCATAAGTCGACGAGACATGTATCCGGTGTCAGCAGTTTTAACCTGTGACGATCGAAATGGATGAACATCCAACACTGGCAAAACTTTAGCCTTGACACTTAAAGGAAGACATCAGCAAGAATCTGTTGGATCCGGACACATCCTATGTTACATGCACTCTCATATCTGATACAGGTGTGTTAAGCATCCGATACGAGTTTTTGCAATCTTTTTGTTAATTTTTAATGCATTTCAAAAAATCTACAAGTATCCGCACTTATATCCGTTCCATACAAGTATGTCAAGGCAGACAAATGAAGAATTCAGGTAAACATATCTAATGTCCGAATGAAAAATAAATAGTAACACCATCAAATAAGTCAAAAGAGGAAATCCATACTGCTGTATCAACAAGGCCTTCTCTTCCTCCCATTGTGTGAAAAAAGAACTCAGTTGCTGACAAACCGTCAAAAAAGGAATGAGCTACAAACCCTTTAGCCTGGACCAAAAACATAACTGTAATCAGCATCCACGGGCATACATACAAGCAATTTGTACAGTTGAGTGCATAAGTAACAACAATAATTACTTTAAGCATCTCTTCCTTAGAATAACATAACTGCAATTGATGAATCTGAATAAACCATTTTAAAAGCAGTTGACACAACCATAAAAGCACCTTCCTACTCACTGACATGCAGCATAAAGTATTTGTCCTTCTCTCAACCCAGTCATACCAAGCTTCTGAGCAATTAATGTTCTCCATGATGTCATATAATTTATTCCCATCTCTCCGTCATTATATCACAGTTTTTAACCAATCTTAAAAAGTGATTGAATAAAACAAAGAAAGATCAAAATCTGAAAAGGAATGTCTTCCCAGGAAACTACAAAGAAATTGGATAGTCTTTCATTTGACACCTATAAATAGGTGTGTCCTATAATCATCAAATCGTCAAAACCATCGAAGTATCTGCTTCTCTCTCTTATTTTTATATCATTAATACTTAACCTAAGTGAAGTAAACCGTCCCCTCCCTTTCCCATTCCTGGAACCAAAGATAGTGCACCACATGACCACTTAGACCTACATATAATTGCTTATCAAAGGAATAATTCTGGGATCTCACAGTAGAAACAGCCGTGAGGCCCGTGACATGGAGAGCCCATCTACCCCTGCTGCAGAACATGGTAAATGTGCCTAGTCCCTAGGATACGTCTTCCCCAAGGCCCCACCAAAGAAATGTTTCTCTTCCCACAACAGATGGCAGCCAGCAAAGAATGTGTTCCTTTGTCAAATTCAGAATCATCCTTATGTTCAAAAGCACCACATTTATCCGCTCTTATTAGGTTTCCAGTTCATTACCATTTCTTCAGCCAACTCAAAGTAACTAGAATATACGAGAGGCAATTGAGCTGAGGTGAACTTCCGTTGGTAGAAGAGATAGACCAATAGCTAACAAGTGGGCAGGTGTGAACTTCCATTGGTAGAATAGACAGACACAACAATCACTAGCACTATCTGCTAAATGCATATCTCACCTAAGGCATCCGGTCAATCATTTAATAGTACAAGTACAGCCACGTACGTGAATGAGAAACAATTGTAACGTGTAGTCCGCTGAAATAACTATATATGACATTGTGTTACTGAAGACACATCACATAAAGAATTAGATACGGAATCATGATAATTGTATGGCAGCAACAGACAACAACAACATACCCAGCGTGATCCCATAAGTGGGGTCTGGGGAGGGTGGGTGTACTCAGATCTTACCTCTACCTCGTGTAAGGTAGAAAGGTTGTTTCTGATAGACCCTCGGCAGCAACAAACTGATGCAGCTTAATAAATTTAATTGAAAAGATTGAACGGGAAAAAAGAAGTGAACACAGTTATGACAAGAATAGGAGAATGTTCTCAGGGATCCCACCTACTACTAGCATAGAGGCGTACAAGAAAAGACCTTGAGCTCTTGTCGGAAAAGCGATGACTAAAGATCCAGAGAATAACAAATAAACTGATAATGTAACATGAAGTACTCACAGTTGGAAACTTTGATTTGGTAGGAAAATGAGGAAGACTTCGATCTATGAATCTATCAGGAGCACGACGACCGCCAACGGACTGCTGACCAACACATGCAATCATCTGGCTTATGTTAATTGGGGATCCTTTTGAACCACACTGTGACATGATCAGAGGACTATTCCTCCAATGTAGTGCTTTCATACAAATCTGTAAAAAAAATCACATTCAGGCAAATTTGCTCCATCATCCCGTATCAAAATGTGACATTATGAGTTAATAACTAAACATCACAACAACTATTCTGGGAGAAAGCTACAAGAGGAAACAAAGAGACTGCAAAGAAGCATGCCTCCTAACTCTAAATATTATTTGATGCAGGCCTTGGATGCAAATGATCACTCAATTTCTTTTTTTCATAGATTGGATTTGGTGGGACCTTAAAGCGACGATTTGCTTTAAGGAAGAAAATTCCCATTACAAGTTGGCACTATCACTGACTGGGCTCTCTTCTTTGATGCAAGGAGACATTGTTCTCCAGGTGAAGAACAAGAATATAATGTATAAATCCACATATAATTGGCCACAATTTGATTAAATCATAAAATGGTTTGTGCAATTTGGCAAGGGTTTATCTAATGGACAAAATTTTGATAGAAGACCGGGGAAGAGGCGCCAAAAAGAACTATGGAAACATAAGGTCTTAGGACAGTAGATTTTGCAGGGGGGCTGCTTTTTGAGGATTATGTCTAAATTAGGCTCCTGGATTTTGAAGGCTTTGATGCACACAGGTTTTCCTATACTTTATATGGGTAGGGAGTAGGCACAACTCTTTAATTGACGAATTGAACTTTAACATCATCCGATATGGTTTATTCAGATTGACTTATGGTGTTCCATTCGAGCTGCTGTTTACATGATGAGCACTTCAGTCAGCAGCCAAATGTAACTCTTTGCCTTCTATACTTACTATTTTACTTTCACAAGTTTAGCACTTCACTCGGTCTTGAAGTTTTAAATGTTTGTATATTGTGGCTAAGGAAGGGGAGCCTTGGAGCAACGGTAAAGTTGTCTCCGAGTGACCTATAGGTCACAGGTTCGAGTCGTGAAATCAGCCACTTATGTTTGCATCACGGTAGGCTGCCTATATTACCACCCCTCGGGGTGCGGCCCTTTCCTAGACCCTGCGTGAACGAAAGATGTTTTGTGCATCAGGCTGCCCTTTTTTTTAAAATATTGTGGCTAAGCTCTCCTTGTCCATGCTTTCCCTCCTTTTATCTGTCAGGGAAGCTAGGACGAGATCAAAGACATGAAGGTTCTAGCAGTAAACCTGTTATGATAGATAAAATCCCTACAAGTGACGACTGTTAGTTGGAAACAGGCAGCACATGAAAAGATAAGTTGTTCTTACTTTTCCTATGTCGTCACGAACTTTATTCAACGCCATAGTTACTTCAGCCTCCAGAGTCTGGGCAGCATCACAGCCTGGTTGCACGGCAAGCTTTCCTTCATTAAATTGTTGAATACGATCTTCACATTTCTTGTAATTTTGATGAATCTCTTCTTGTTTTTGCTTAACTAAGTTTTCCCCAGGTGTGACATCATCAATCCCTATAGAAAATCCATGATTACCAATCCACCGAGCACTAGCAAGACACAAACAGAGATAAGGTCAGTGTTTGTAATAAAGAAAAGCGCAACAAGACGATAAGGTCCATGGTGCTGAAGCGAAAAGGTTGATGTGAAAATGCATGCTTCTTTGAAATGGGCGCACAATTTGCTGAAAATTCAAAAACAACAAAAGCGTATGAACTTAGTGCTACAATAGTAAACTTGCAATTGAGGGTTTCAATGTTCAAGCAGCATCAGAGCTTATCGCTGAGAATCTCCAACCGGTGAAAATGCCGTCACATAGACATTTATGATTAAGAAGAAACTGGCGAAGAAGCAGAGGCAAAACAGGCCCATT